TGGAAGTAGGAATGCCCAACCTTCCTTCCGAGGAGTGGCTGGTGGGTTTGAACCGCCAGCCTTCTGGTTAGCAGTCAAGTGCCTTAGGCATTATGCTACCAAAGCTCCTTATATTAGGGCCCCTAAATTTGCCCCTAGTTTTTCCTTGAGGAACTCTATAGCTTTAGGTTTCACATTTAAGTCTTTGATCCATCTGCAGTTCGTTTTTCTGTATGGTGTGAGGTATGGATCTTATTTCATTTTTCTGCAAATGGATATCCAGTTTTGCCATCACCATTTATTAAACAAACATTCTCTTCACCATTTAATGGATTTTGGCCCTTTGTCAAAGACCAGCTGACCATATGTCAATGGATCTATTTCTGGGCTCTCAATTTTAATCCATTGGTCTATGTGTCTGTCATTATACCAATACTATGCAGTTTTGACTACCGTGGCTATATAGTAAGTTTTGAGAGCCGGCAGTGTGAGACCTCCTACTTAGTTTTGTTTTTCTTTATATCTAGTAAAGCAAATCAGCTCCCAAACATAAAGCAGTCACCATGGGAAATTTTTTTTTTCTCATAAAACAGGGCTACACAAATCAATAGAAAGTACACACAAAACATCACCAAACCTTATAAATGTTTTGAATGCCCTTTGCTGGGTAAAATACAAATTAAACAGTCATGTTTCCCCTCCCACCTAAGTACATACAGACTTAGCAAACTACAGTGAAGACAAGACTAAACAGTAAAAATTATGTCTATTTATGTTATTTATGTTGGTATCTGACTATCCAGTTGTTTGCTGCTCAGACAATAAGGCATAACATTAGTTTGTTCTAACCAAGATTATCTAATTGTCTAATTACCTATCAATCAATCCTGAATCAATTACTGCCTGCACTTTTTCTATTTCCTCCTCAGAATAGCTACTTTTATATGACTTTCTAGAATTTAAGTAAATAGTAAGCTTTAATAAAGATGAAAGGAAATTTTTATTTTTCAGTTTAATGTGTTTAATCATTTCAACATTAGCTTTAGAGAAAGATTCTTGAGTGATACAGAATTTCAGGAGTTTTAAAAAGAAATAAAGAGCTTGCTATTTTTAGTCTTTTTAAATGATGAAAGTATAGGCAAAGGAGGGAAAGATTAAGCATAATCAAATATATTCTTTAAGAAGACAATAGTGGCTTTCTGGTAGACACCAAAAAAAAACAAAAAACAAAAACCCAGACCCATTGCCATGGAGTTGATTCTGATTCATAGTGACCCTAACAAAACATAATAGAATGGCCCCATAAGGTCCGACTTGATGGCACATAACAACAACAACAACAACAACATAAGGTTTCTAAGGTTGTAAATCTTTATGGAAGCGGACTGCCTCATCTTTCTTCCACAGAGCAACTAGGGGGTTCAAACTGCCAACCTTATGGTTAGTTTAGAAGCATTTTAACTGCTAGGCTACCAGAGCTCCTTCTTTTAGTGGATAGAGAACTCAAATTTAAAGTAAAATTATTTAAAGACTTAAACATGAAACCTAAAACTATAAAGTTCCTCAAGGAAAAACTAGGGGCAA